ATTGAAAAACAAGGAACTCATGCAATATTATTCAAAATGGGTGACCCTGGAGGACATTATGCTGAGTGAAATATCTCAGTCACAAAAGGACAAACATTGCATAGTGCCACTGCTGTAGGATGTGACTGACATCAGAGTTGGGATAAGAATGAGAAAAAACTGGATGAATTATGTATACTGCATTGAAATGGATGAGGGAGAGAACAGTTTAAAAGCAATTTATTATAGGGCATTATGATTATCATAAGAGTCCAGAATGAAGGTTGCTGAGTGGAGTAAATTTGGGGTGGGAGTGGGTGTGGGGAGGGTATGGGGGGATTGTATACCAATGACGGAATTTCTCTTTTCAAAGAGGAGAGCGAACTGGAGTCGGGGCGGGGAGAAAAGTGCAACAATAAATGAATGGAAATCCAAAGTCTCTGTAAATATTCATTGAAATTAGTAAGAATAGAAAGGTTATGAAGATACATTTTTTAAAAATTAATTTTCAGATAATATGATGGTGGTTAACTGTTCGAGCCTCATGTTCTTAAATACCTTCTTATTAAACATTTTTTTCCCTTCATTGCTACTGAATGCTTTTCTATTATTTTAAAACATATCAAGGGAGCTCTGGTGGCAAGAATTGTGCTGCAATCCTGAGGCACACAGTTTGATTCCACCATCTGCTGTGTGGGAGAAAGATGGGCAGTCTCCTCCTATGCAATTTACTGCTTCTGAAAACCCACTAGAGGGTCAGCTATGGGTAGGTCCCAACTTGGTGGTACACAACAACAACAACAAAACATATTTTAAAAATCTTCATTATTTAACTTCTTGACAAAATTATATGTCAGGAAATATTTTTAAGCATCTCCCTGAGCATTTATCACTAATTGTCACTGCACAGAATTTAATTACAGAAATTATAGCAGCAGTATGAAATTGGCATATTTTCAAGCAGCAGTGTTTAATGATATGCTTCCGGGATTATATTTGTTAGAATGAGTCAGATGTCTTTCTTACAATGTATTTTACAAATACTCCTTGAGCATAATATTAATGAATAACATATGATATAAAATTTTTGTGTTGGTTTACACTTATGAAATAGAAATTTTAAGCTCTAGGATCTTTGTAGTAGTATTGATATTTGCTGTCAAGTTCAGAGTGACTCATAGCTAATCCTCCAGTGATTTTTCAAAGACTGTAAATCACATGGGAGGAGATTGTCCATCTGTCTCCTGTGGAGAAGCTGGTAGATTCAAACTTTATGCCTTTGAGTAGGCAGTGCACCCCCTTACTGCTTATATGGTGTGATTTGGTTTGTGGTAAAGAACTTCACTGTCCACCTGAAGGCACATGGTTCGAATATACCAGCTGCTGCATGGGAGAAAGATGGACAGTCTCCTCTCATGCAAGTTATTTCCCTTGAAACCTTCTGGGGGGTCAGGTATGGGTCTCTTCTGACTTGATGGTACATAACAATAACAAAAACAAGAGTACAAAGTGTTTCTCTCATCATAAAACATTTTCCATGTTTATTTTCATGACTAGAAATGCAGGAATATAAATCTGCCAGTAGCATCTAAAACTCAGAATTACATAGTAAAATTTATTAATTATCTTACTATAAAAATGTTAAAACTTAACTAGGTGTGATTTTGTCAGTTTGGCACTAAAATGAGATTTTGTGGTTGTATATTGAACTTTTAGGTGATGATTTGTACATTTAAAAAGAGTCAGTTCTCCATTTTTCCGTTCTTTACTGGGAAAGGAGAGTGAAATTTGTGTTTTCTTATATTTCAGAACAAAGTAGAAGAGATGATTTAGAAGCTTTAGGTCATATGTTCATGTATTTTCTGAGAGGCAGTCTTCCTTGGCAAGGTTTAAAGGTAATTATTTTATATTTCATTGATTTTTAGAAAGTGCTGAAATCTTCTTTCTTCTGTCTGAGCACTTGAGAATGTACCACCCTCTCAAGGTTTTGGTTTTCCTTTTTGTCTTTTTAAGGCTGACACATTGAAAGAAAGGTATCAGAAGATTGGCGATACAAAACGAGCCACACCAATAGAAGTATTATGTGAAAATTTTCCAGGTAACAAATAATGACAAGTTCATACATGTGTTTTATGCAACTGGAAATCAGAACTGTTACTTTTCATTACTTTAGTTTATTTCATGCCTTAGAAACAATAACAAACTCACATTGTGACTTATAGTAAGATGCCATCATTTTATCCATTTATCACAGGGCAATACTTTGTGCACTTGATTACAGAAGATGGTATTAGAAGAAAAGAAATACCATCTTTTTGTTTTTAAAATGCCATTTCTTTTTTTTTCTTTTCCCCCAATTGTCTGAAATTTTTATAACCTTATTCCATGGATGGTGTAGAGCAAGGTCTCAAACCGTTTCAACACTGCTCTTGCAAGTAAAATGCCATTTCTTAATAACTTTGACCAATTAGCAAATCAGTATTTTCTCTGGGGACCTAGATAAACTCTTTGCCAAGATAGAATTGTTGTTGTTTGTTGTTATGTGCCTTTGAGTTGTCTGCAACTCATAGTGACCCTATGTACAACAGCCCTAAACCCTGCTCTATGCTGTGCCAATCTCACTGCCTCTGACACGCCCATCCCGAGTACCCCAGTCACTGAATCAATCCACCTCATAAAGGGTCTTCCCCTCCTGCGCTGTCCCTCCACTCTGCCCAGCATGATGTCTCTCTCCAAAGACATGTCTCTCCTTAAAACATGTCCAAAGTGTGTCAGGAGAAGCCCCAGAATCCTTGCCTCCAAGGAGCATCCCGGTTTAACCCTCTCTAGGATGAATCTGTTTGTTTTCTTGGCAGTCCATGGTACATTCAGTACTCTTCTCCAGCACCACAGCTCAAAGGCGTTAATTCTCCTTCTGTCCTCCCTAGTCATTGTCCAACTCTCTGATGCATAACAAGTGATTGCAAAAACCCTGCTCACTGAAACTGAACTGAGGAGGACCTCATGCACGTACTGCAGAGGATCAAGGACTGCAACCTTCAGTATGGACTGAGGCTTAATGTCAAGAAGACAAAAATTCTCACCACTGGACCAATCGGTACCATCAGGATGGATGGTGAAGAGATTGAGATTGTTCACAGCTTCAGTTTACTCGGCTCCACGGTCAACACTCTTGGCACCAGTATCCAGGAAATCAAAAACGTATTGCGATGGGAAAGTCTGCAGTTAGGGACCTCTCTAAAGTACTCAAGAACAACGGTGTCTCTCTGGAGACTAAGGTGCACCTGATACAGGCCATGGTTTTTGCAATCACTTGTTATGCATCAGAGAGTTGGAATCAAAAGATAGAGTAGATGCAAATTGTGTATAATGTTGATCATTTGGATCAATGTCAAACTCAGAAGAAGTCTGTAAAGTATGATTCCATTTAGTTTTCAAAATAGAGTAAAACCCAACTAAGGTTACTCATTTTAGGTTAATTTTATCCTGGGAGCAGTTTAAATTTATGAAAATATTTTAATTTCCAAATAGATTTTGACAGTGTAATTAAACTAACAAGAATTTACTTAATAAGTATTTCATGGATTGGGCAGAGTTTTGTTCTGTCATACTATGTAGAGGTACTTTGAGTCAGAGTGAATTAGACAGCACCTAACAACAACAAAGATTCCAAATTAACAAATAAAAATAATATGCTATTATTTTTTGTACTAGAATAATTGCTGTGGTTTGTGTGATTGTATTAAGTGGACATAACACTGAATCGTTTCTATCTTAGTTTGAAATTTACTGTGTCTCCTGTACAATGTTAGCAAAGTAATACCCTTAGCATATCTCATATTTACACACATGTTTAACTGACAGCTAATTTTAAACAGAATAATAAAAAGAAATTCTCCATTTCCTCACCTTTGCCTTTACTGGTTGGTATGTAGATTTAATTAATAGTTATATTACCAGATTGTCTTTGTTTGTGTATGAACAGTGTCCTGTCATGCACATTATACTTCAGGATAGATTTTGAAATGTGTGATGAGGTCACAAAGGGGGGATATTATTGCTGATGTGAGATGGAATTTGACTGAAAGCAGGCACTCCCAGAAGGATATTTTTGTGTGTGTTTTATCAACTATGCAAAGACATTTTGACTGTGTGGATCATACAAATTATGGATAACACTGAGAAGAAAGCGACTCCTAGACCACTTAAGACCGCACTCATGTAAAACCTGTGCATAGACCAAGGAGAGTTGTCAGGACAAATCAAGAGAACAGTGCATAGTTTAAAATGAGGAAAGTGTGTTAGATTTGTATCTTTTCTTTATACATGTTCAGTCTGTATACTCAGGAAATTGTTCTAGAAGCTGTACTATATGAAAAAAAAATATGGCATTAGATCTTCAGGAAAACTTATTAACAGCTTCATTATGCAGATGACACAACATTGATTGCAGAAAGTGGAAAATAAAAAGACTTGTGGCACTACTGCAGAAAATCAAAGATTATAGCCATCAATATGGATTACACCTCACATCAGGAAAACAAAAATTCTCATCTCTGGCCTCATAGGTAACATCATGATGATGATGTTGTTAAGTGCCTTCAAGTCGAGCATGACTCTTAGTGACCCTGTGAACTAAAGACCTGAACCCTGTACTATAACTTTGTCATTTCTCTCAGTTCCTAGAATTTCCACATGCATGGTGTGTAGGAAGTGATGCCACTCCTGCTTCCAAGTTTCTCTTAGTCTGGGAGCTCTCCCCAACACTGCCTACCATGGGTAACCACTATGCATTTGACACACCAGTGGCACAGAGTTCAGTATAACAGCAACCCCAAGTTACTTCAGTACAGTAAATTAACAGACCAGTGCTGTACCAGGCTTAGTAGAATGTCCATTCCAAACCCAGTTAACACTCAGCTGACTTTTAAATACACAGGCCCGGCCACCAGGCCCTGAGTTTCTCTAAATAAGAGGCTTCCAGTCCACAGCTCATTTTTAAACAAACCCAGCATATCCAAACAGCTCATACACAGTTATGAACGAAATGAGAACAACCAAACAGTCCACACCTGACTCGCAACCAAAACAAGAATAATCTACCTTTCAGAATCCAACAGCTTCACACATAAGCCTCCAAACCTATTAGAATACCTGTTAGAATGGCTACAATGAAATATTGTCACAGTCTCAAGTAGTACTGAGTTGGAACTCAATTGGAACTCTCAAATACTGCTGAAGCAAGTGCAAAATGACATAACTACTTTGTCAGTTTCTTATAAACGTAAGCAATTCAACATCAGTCCATTGCTTGTGGAATAAGAACTGACAGATAGCTGACCCTTGGCAGGTTTTCAGAGACTATAAATCACACAAGAGGAGGCTGCTCATCTTTCTCCTTCCGAGAGGCTAGTGGATTTGAACTGAATGCTTTTGGGTTGGCAGGACAACTCGTTTGATACTTGGCCACTGAAGCGCCCCTATACTCACCATATCCCTTTTCCTGGGTATCTACCTAAGACAAAAACCCTTGATAGATCCTATACTCAAATAGTTGCTGAGGCTCCTTAGGTATGCCAAAAGCACTCATGGGTTTTGATTTCTTGGAGGTTTAGGGTTATGATTTCATGAGACATTCCAGTCAGTTGGTCAAATAATGTGAATAGTTGTTTCTGTTCCACTTTCTAGATCATTGCAGTCTAGTGTTTAAAAAGGAAGAAAATTATGAGTGAGAGGATGGATAAGGGGGTAATCATAGGGTCGCACAATTTGATGGGTAGAAGGAGGGGTGGGTAAGGGAAATGAGAAAAATCTGGTGTGAAAAACAATGTATATGAACTTGGTAAGTAAACCAGTATAAAATAAAATTTTTATTTAAAACCAAAAAGGAGAGAAATTGCAAGCAATGTGTTAGAACAAATCAAGTGGATTAAGGAAGCAGCTAAATGGAAAAGCAATGAAGTCCAAGATTTCAAAGTCTGAGGAAGTGAGGACTGTGTCGATGCAGGGGGCTAAAGGCATTAGACTAATTACTGGATTCTGGAGCCTGAATAAAATGGGGGAATGGAGTCAGGCAAGACTAATTTATCACATACTAAGGAAATAAGTAAGAAAACATGTTAAGAAGAATAAGAACCAGTTTTCTGATGATCAGAAAAGGAATCTACAAATGTGGTGGGGGAAAAATATTTAATAAATCCAATTCTGTTGAACTATATGTAACTGGAGACAACAATGTGAACTCAAAGGTTTTTTAAAATATAAAATTCAAATAGATTAAAATTATGTGCATGTATATCTTTCTTTGTCTAGTGATAGTATGAAGGAACAGATTGTTGTTAATGTTATTAAGTGCCGTCGAGTTGCTTGCGACTCCTAGGGACCCTATGTACAACAGCCCTAAACCCTGCTCTATCCT